GGTTCGGGCCATGCAGGGCGGTGAATGCTGGCACATATGGCTTTTTCTTCCTAGGGACTGGGAGCCGGGGAACTCTGAGAGGAAGGACCCCATCTCCGCTGTGGGCGTTTTTACTGTGACAATTGTGTCTGATGGATTCACAGGGACAATAAACTGCTGACAAGGACCTTAAAGGCGAGGCCGTGGGGAGGGACTGGGCAAAATTAAACAAAAACTGTGTCCAATTCCTGTAGCAGTCCCTTCGCATATACTAATGAATTATTTAGAGGCTATAAGAATTAAAGCTAGCCATTTTTTAAAAAGCTTAAATAATAATAATAAAGCATAATGAGATGCTAAAAAATGACCCACCCAATGTGCTTTCAGAAACCACACAGATTGAAGACCCCAGGAAGCAATGGAGGGGGGAGCAGGAGAAGATGCTCAAGGACTACCTCTCGGTGGCTCAGGACGCCCTGCGGACGCAGAAGGAGCTGTACCACGTGAAGGAGCAGAGGCTGGCCCTGGCCCTCGATGAATACGTGCGATTGAACGACGCCTATAAGGAGAAGTCAAGCTCCCACACAAGCTGTAAGTGCAGTGTGGCTGCTCACGGGAACCGGGGGCCACTGGGGCGCTGTGGGGCTTCCTCTGGGGGCCTGTTCCCTCTCGGCGGGGAGTGGGGCGGGCACACCGCAGACTTGTCAGTAAGGCCCCTCGGCCACACTCCAGATGAAGTCTCCTCTGGGGATCACGTATCCTGTCTGTTTCTGCCCCGCCCTCTGCCTGCTGGCCTTCTATTTATTTCTGAGTTCGTTGTACCCTTTCAGATGAAGGCTAGTCAGCAGCCCTGTTGCTACTCTTACACTATCTGTAGTGGGAGGAACTGGAGCCCTTAGCTGGAATGACGTGTCCCTTGGCCACCGCGTTGACTTAGCTCTCCCTCATCTCCAGAACAGGGTGCCTGGGCTGGCCGTGCTGAAAGCAGCAGCACCGTGGGCTCAGAAGTCCCCTGAAATGGTGGCTTTCAGGGAATACGAGCCTGGTAAACTCTGTGTGCCACCAGGACCTCTAAGATTTTATTCACTCGGGTAAACCCAGAAGAAAACGAAGTACCAGGGTCTTTGTGACATGTGTCTTTCTTGAGGCTTTATTTTTAAATTATGAAGGTTTGAAGATTACTTTTTATATGTAGGTGTCTGACGCATGACAATAACGAAATGATAAAGTAAGTAAGTACCTGTAGCAGCATGTGACTCCTGTTCTTAGTTTGTAAATTCTGAGCTGAGAACCGGTGATGCAGCCTTGCTTTTCTCTTCTCTCTTTGGAAAGTGTTCTCAGGATCCTCCTCGAGTACTAAGTACGATCCTGACATTTTGAAAGCGGAGATCTCCACCACGCGATTGAGGGTAAGATGTTTTATTGTGGTTCTAGAATTCCCAAAATTCACGCAAGAAGTAATTTTGGTAGAAAACACGGGTTTATAATTAAAAATTGTAAATTTTTTATTGATTCACAAAGTATACAGTATAGGGTTATGTATAGAATAGCACATCGGGTAAATGGCCTCCACGGCTTTGCTGGCACAAACGCAAAGCCGTGGTCTTCATTGGTCTTCATTGTCCCTGCTCCTGGGCCATAATTGGTACTTGGTAATACTTATCAAATTGAAGGGATTGAAATCAAAGGGCAACAGATATTAGAATCTGATTCAATAAACCAAGTAAAATTAGGCTTTTATTTTTTGTTGTTGTTGTTGTTAATGCTCACACAAAATTCAAATCTTGCGCGAATTTTGGGACACCCTATACATGGTGCATCTGCGTAGACGCTGAAGGTGGGAAAGGCATTCGTGGTCGCCTGCCTTGTCCATCCAGTGCAGGAGCCTCCTCCGCGTACCCCCGACGGCTGGTGTTTCCTTCCGCCTTTGTTGGAACTGTTCCTGTGGTTGGGATGTCCTTGCTCCTGAGACCCAGTGCGTTCCATTGTCGGGCAGTTTTATGATTGGCAGTTAGTACATCGAATCAAAACTGGAGTCTCGGTAACTTCCCTTCCCTTATTGTGCTGACGTGACTTCCGGAGCTGAGCCTTGCTGCCCTTTCATCAGATGTCCCGAATTTAAAGATGCCCATCTTCCGTCACCAGTCGCTTCTTTCTAGAACTGACTAGTCAACACTTCTCATGGGTGTGTCCCCATCTTTACCCCGAATCTTTTTGACCAAACTGCTGTTAAGGCCAGAGTTTGTTCATCTTTGACTTTTAGAGTCATAAACACTGTTCACCACGTCCGTAAATCCATGTAACCATTACCTATGTCCTGAGATAGATTACTGCCGTGACCCCTCATGGCCGTCCTCCTTCTCTCTGAAGGTAACTGACCCATCAACACTGTGGGTCAGTTTTCTGGCTGCTTTGAACGTTGTGAAACTGGAATGCCACCATATATATTATTTGATGGCTTCTTTTGCTCAGCAACACTTTGAGATTCATTCACATAAACTTTCATTGCTGTAAAGCATTCCACCTTGGAGTACATACCATAAATTCTTTCTCTTCTACTGATGCCCATTACTGCTTATTCCAATTTCCGGTCATTAAAAACTGTGCCTTAACGTACATGTCTCCTATACATGCCCTTTGGGACACATATGTACACATTTTTCTTAATTATGCAACTAGAAATGAAATTGCTGTGTCAAAAAATATTTATAGCTTTCACTTTAGCAAATACTTACAAATGATTTGGGGCTTTCTTACTTTCTAACATTTGCTTTTAAAGCCCCAGATGACTTTCTGCGTATGGCTCTTGCCTGCAACTCCTAGTTTTTGAATTTTGTGTTTTTATCAATCAGTTCAAAATATTTACTAACTTTTGTAACTTCTTTATGATTAGAGTCTGCTTAATTTTTAAATAGTTGGGAATAATCTTTTATTATTGATTTCAGCTTCATTCCACTGCATGTTTTTTAGTTCTAAAATTTCTATTTAATTGTTTGGATACTTGCCCAAATTCTGAACATTGATATATAATTTTTTTAACAAAATAATCACACTTACTTTTTCAGTTTCATGTCTTCATTATGATAATACCTAGGTTTCTTATAGGTTGGATTCTTCCATATGGTCTGAAGAATGGTTTTGATTTGGGGTCAATATTTGACCTCTGACAGCTGCTTAGTTTGTAGTAAGAGCCTTATGTGTGACAACACATAAAGATGATTTAAGGTTTGGGATGATCTTGTCATCCTTCAGAGCGAAGTTTTGCTTCTTGTAGGTAGACAGGCCCGGGACGTACAATTTTAACTCAGTCAGGGCTTGTGCTATCTGAAATCCATGGAAGGAATATCCTCCGGTGAGGGTTAACAAAAACAAAACAAAACAAAAAGCCGGCGTTTCTGTAGCTGGTTGGAGAGGAGGAAGCCAGATGTTCAAAGTGCAAGGAGCATCGAGGGCATGGTTTCTGTATTGAAGGTGGCTATACCCACAGGAAATAGTTGGGTCCCTGAGAGGGACCTGCGCTACTTGCCAGGAAGGAAACCGAATCTCAGTCCCACCTGGACCCACAGGAACTGAATTCCGCCAACAGCCAGAATGTAGCTGAGAGCGGATTTTCCCCGTGACCCCCACGTGAGCGCTCAGCCTGGCCGACACCTCAGTTTCAGTTTTTGGGTACCTTGAACAGAGAACCAGCCAGACCTTTCTTGTGATCTATTAAATGAGTGTTATTTTAAGCTGCTAATTTTGTGATATTTTGTTCCGTAGCAACAGAAAACTGGTTTAGCAGGCCACATATAGTTTCTGTCATAGGTTTTTCTTTTTCACTTTTCTGAGAAAAGTAGTAAGCACATGAAAACCATTCTTAACTCATGAGCCATAAAAAAATTAGGCCATAGGGTAGATTTGACCCACAAGCTATCATTTAATGATCCCTGCCATAGAATAACTACTAAGAAAATACAGAGGTATTACCAATAGTGGAGATAAAATGGAATTTTTTAAAATGTAGTCAATACAAAAGGAGGCAGGAATAGAAGTAGAAAGTATAAAAGGACATATGTGACAATTAGAAAATAAAGATAGTAAGATTTAAAACCAACTATGTCAATGATTACACTAAATATAAATGGTCTAAATGCTTCAGTTAAAAGGTAGAGATTATCAGAATGGTTAAGATAAGAACCAACTCTATGATGGTTATAACAGATCTACTTTAAATATAAATGCCCAGATAGGTTGAAAATTAAATGAATGAAAAAGACATACTATGAAAATACAAATGCAAGGAAAGTTGCACTTGACATATTAATATCAAAGTAAACTTTAGAACAAGAATATTACTAGAAATTTTCTACTAATAAGTCAGTTCATCAAAGGACATAATGATATACACACATAACCCTAAAGTGTTATACATAGAATAACAGAGCTTTAAATATCTGAAAAAGACCAATAGAACTGAAAGGAGAACTACAAATTTACAATTATAGTTGGATATATCAACACTCCTCTCTCCGTAATCGATAGGATATACAGACAAAATCAGCACAGTTGTTGAAATTGTGAACAATATCATCAACCAACCAAATGAAATGAACATGTGTAGAACATGCCACCTCAAAATAACAAAATATGTGTTATTCTCAGGTGCACGTGGAGCACTTACAAAGGATGCCGCCCTCTAGGCCATGCTGAGTCCTATGGGAACGGACTAGTTTATTTGAATTGTGGAAATCTAGCATTGACTTTCCATGTTTTCATCTATTATTTGTACCTCAAGTAGCATATCTCATAAATGTTTCACATAATGTTTCTCATTGGCTTTGTGGGGTTTTTTTTTCCTTTCTGTTATTGATGACTGAATTCATTCATTAGTCATCACAGGTGGCTCTGAGAGTACGTGGGATTCTGTTTGCCTCTATTTCTTAGTCAGGGCAGAAATGTCTTCATTATCAATCCTGTGACTGTCGAGCTGATGTCTCGTTTCCGTTCAAGGTGAGGGTGTTCTGTTGAAGGTGATGTGGACGCAAGGGAAGAGAAGGCTCTTCGAGGAGCAGGTGGCAGGGGCCCTGTGCTGGCCTGCTGAGGGGCCCTGGCAAGACCCCAGAACAGGGGTCCTCAAACTACGGCCCGTGGGCCACATGCAAATACAAATATTGTATTTGTTCCCATTTTGTTTTTTTACTTCAAAATAAGATATGTGCAGTGTGCATAGGAATTTGTTCATAGTTTTTTTTTAAACTATAGTCCAGCCCTCCAACCGTCTGAGGGACAGTGAACTGGCCCCCTGTTTAAAAAGTTTGAGGACCTCTGCCGTAGAGAAAGGGTGCAGAGGGAGGAGGTCATCAGCAAAAGGCCGTCTGCTCACCCCGGCTTTACTGTTGCAGGGTTCGCTGTCGGGCAGACTTAGGAAACCTGCCTGTCTCGGGAGCCTTCCAGGATCCCACGCTTCTGGAATGTACTCTTTCCTTCTTTGTCATCATCTTTCTCCTTCTTCTGAAGTAAAACTTGTTACACTAGGGTTGTCAGAGACGGTATCACACTTAATCACACGACTTCCTGGCTTTCAGAAGCAGCTTGAAAATCGATTTGAAGTGCCAGTTGCTTCAGTGTAGTCAGCATGGAAGCAGGGGGTGTGGAAAGTCAGGCTCTTACCTCCACTTCAGCGTTCTGGGCTGTGAGGTTTGATTCCTGAGGAAAGGTCTGGGCAATTAGATGGTTGGCTGGGGCTGCAGAAAGTCTAGTGCGTCAGGGGAGACAAAGGCTCAGGGCTGTGGGCTCTTCATGTCTTCCGTTGGGGTGGGATCTAGGAGTAAGGACGTTCCTAAACTAAAATAAGGGCCATAGATTTGTTTAGGTCATTTTGCTACAGTCCCAGTTTGTCTTGGATCTTACAAGCACAGTGATGCCATTATAACTAAAACTGTTATAATGGTAGTTTTTAAAAAATTCTGCCGGATTCTAAGCTGCTCTCTGCTCTGCGTAGTAGCAGTGAAGTCCTCCGTTTCGTATCTCTAGTCCAGACACTGCTGATGAGCATCAAGTCCACGTGTTCCAATTGCCTTTGAAGTCTCGTGGGTCTCCCGAAAGTATCTTAAAGAAAATCCCTGATCTTTCCCCAGGATCTGGTCCCAGTCTTCAGGAAAGCACCTTCGTGCACCCAGCTGGCAAGTCAAGACCTTGGACGTGACCTTTGCCACATCTTCTCCCCCACCCGCCACACCTGGTCCATCACCACCTCCTGTTGGTCCACAATGTTCTTCCTCTGGGCTCTGCCTCTATGGCACTGCCCGTGCGCCAACCCCCAGTGCTGGTGCCTGGCCCCTGCTGGCCCCTCTGGACATCAGTGTGGTGATGGCAGGGGCTGGGAGTGGGAGGTGGAAGAGGGCAAAGGCGGCGTGGAGGGAAAGTTGTTGGAAAAAATAAAATTTAAAAAAATGACACTGTAGCAGCCATGAAGGTTTGGACAATTATAAAGTTTTGTTTGTTTATTTTAAAGACCATTGAAGGTCAAGATTGTGTCTGTTCTGTTCACACAACAGACCCAGGACCTGGCACCCAGTGGAGAGTCAATAAATATTTGTGGAATCGGTAGAATGAACAGGAAATAAAAGCCCAAAAGCACATGGAAATGATGTGTAACAGGATGCGCCTGAGACTCAGGCTGCGCCTTAGCCTAGAGACAAGTGTGCCGGCCGGTGGAGACCACTGGCCTGACCACTCCAGGCTGCTGCTGCTTCTCTGCCCACCAGATCTCAGTGTTGTTGTGACCAAGGCATGTATTTGGCAGGAGGAAAAAGAATACTTTTTTTTTTTATCAGTTTGACATCAAATATTTGTTAGCCTGGTCGTGCTCTGGAAGCTTGGACTACAGCTGTGTGGTGCGGCGTCCTTTCCCACGGGGAGGCAGTAAACCCGGGCACAGAAAAGTGTAGCTTTTGAAAAATGCTGTGAGCTGAACGAAACAGAGTAGTGCATGAGGGGGTGGCTAGGAAAGGTGAAGTGTGGCTGAGACCTGAGTGGCAAGGGGTCAGCAACTGGCTGTCTGAGGGGAGAGCATGTGCGGGAGCCCTGAGGCGCCACTGCTGGCGTGTCTGAGAGGCAGAGGCGTGGCCAGAGGTCCTGGAGCCTGGGCAGGAGGCATCCGAGCTCCTAGAGTTAGCGATGCCTCGGTTTACAGCCCCGGCTCTCCCTTCCTGGCTGTTTATCACCAACTGGAGACTGGTGATGTCGCGCTCATAGGAAAGCTGCTAAATAAGATGCTGAGGGTTAATATCAGCAGTAACGTCCGTCACTGATAATTTATACATAATTAGTCTGCCGGGCACAGAACTTATGTCCAGGAGAAACTAGCAGAGTGAATGTTCAACTAAGGCTGTGTTCGCGTGTTTAATAGTTTACTAATGGGTTATCTTTTAAAACAGTGTTGCTAATTATTTACAAACATGCGTATTTACATTGATTTCTCACAAAAGGTTAAAAAGCTGAAGCGGGAGCTCTCGCAGATGAAGCAGGAGCTGCTCTATAAGGAACAAGGCTTCGAGACTCTGCAGCAGTGAGTATAACGCCCCGACGCTGGCCTCGGGGTAACTCCCAGCCCCCTAACTTGTGCAAAGGAAACGCAAGTGCAGACCCCACACGACATTTCTCAGGGAAACAGGTCAGAGCTCAGAGCTCTGCACCGAGAAACAAAATCAGCCAACAACCTAGGCACTCGGGGAAATCTATGTCCTTTGAAAAGGGCTAAAGTTTTTATTGCTCACTGGAGACCCAAGGGAACCAGTGAAAAACTCGCTCATCTCCTGGCGCCTGCGGGCTGCTCCAGGGCTGAGGTGTGGAGCTGAGAGACGAGCAGGGCCGTGCCCCCCGCATTCTCCTCCAGGCTGCCCTGCGCGCATCCCCGGGGCTCCGGCCGGGCTGGGGGTGCCTCTGCCCCCCTCACCCGGGCGTGGCCTGGAGTCTCCCCGGGGCTGAGCTCAGGGAGCAGGGACTGTC